ATCAATTTGTTGTAGCTATAACTTTCGGTCTTTAACTATAATCTATATAATGCACTCAAAAGATACAGAGATCAATGTTTCTATGCTGCAGACTCTATATCATAGTCGTTTGATAGTTTACAATTACTTATAGAGACCTCGATAAACTCCATCCAAATGTTCGTAGCGTCAGTCTGAGCTTTTGTAATTATATCCCACAGTCATTACTTAACATATAAAATATCTTTGTCCTAGCTGTTTTTGAATTATTTCTTTTAAATTTTGGCATGCGACTAATTGTTAGCTTGTGAGGTTCCAATTCAGTTTCAGATAAGATTCGAAGATTATCCGTACCACGTATTTATTGCTGAGGTTCCAAATCAGTTTCAGATAAGTTTCGAAGATTATCCGTACCACGTATTTATTGCTGAGGTTCCAAATCAGTTTCAGATAAGATTCGAAGATTATCCGTACCACGTATTTATTGCTGAGATGAACCATGCAGTCATCCAATTTTGACTTTCATTTTAACCTGCCGGACAGAGGAGACGCCATACTTTTAAAAATCATTTGTCCGAAATATGGACTGAAGTCAGTGATCGTTTGTCTGACAGTACAGATCATCAGTTATGAAGGTTATGGCTTGTGCTGAGAGTGTAAATGACAGTGTTAAGAATTCATTTGGAAATAGTGATAGGACCCCCTCTTCATGAATTAATATAAAAAGAAAGCCATTAATATTTACTCATCGTGTAATGGTATGCATATGTAGTAATAAGCCAACCCGATATTTCCAGCATGCTCACTCAAAACAGTTCTTTTTAGATATTTAGCAAGATCTTTTCTATCCCATACACTTATTAAATAAAAATTGGTTATCTTTTTCTGAAGTTAAACACGCACAAAATTGACCGTTTTGATACGATCTACATAAGTTGTAATCGCACACAAAATGATATATGTAATCACCGACATAAATAGATGTAGGGGTGTATGTGAAGAGAACCAAATTAGTTAAATAATAAAAGAATCAACAATCAAAATGCAACGCTCACACTATTCCATCACGAAAGACTTTCACCACGTTTTCACAGACTTCAAGAAGACCTTTGACAGGATGTGGGATGCAAAATTATGAGCAACTGTGATGTAGTTTAACATCAGCTCAGACCTGGTGCGGGTTAAAGAACTGTGACAAAGCCAGCAGTGCTGTCGTCATCAATGACAGTATATGAGATTAGTTTCGAACGACAGTTGGAGTCGTACAAATAATATTAATAGCTTGGCAGATGATAAAAAGGAATTGTCTGACCTGGTTGATCGCACCAACACAATCTCTACAGCATACAGTATCGTGATTAGCGCCGAAAACACGAAACTAATGAAAACAATACCAATGGCGGCAGTGCAGATATAAAGGTCAGTTGATAGGAACAAAAAATTAATCACAAGCTTCAAATACTTTTGATCAATTATTACAGAGGTCTCCAAATCAGAACGGCTTTCCAGGATACCCAGAAAACAGCTTCCGGTAATTATGTTACGTCGATGCTACATCCAATATTGTGACACTTATTATAATCTCAACGCCAAACCTATTTTGCGGAGGCAATTATATCCAATCGCCAGGTGAAGAAGTTGAAAGTCTCGTCAAGATTGTTTTCTGGGATTGAAATAATTGTTTGCAATACAAGTCTACGGTAACCTCCGAGTGTTAAAGACCAATTGTACGCAATACCAGTCTACGGTAATCTATGATTGTTTTAGTCAGACTGGTGCTACTTGTACAAACATGTATGATGACACTTTCCTTATGTAAAGAAAAGCATGCAATTAATTCACTCATGGCACAGATATCATCATACAATTCTATGCTAGAGTTTGCGATTGTGTTTTCACTATCCGTCAATCATAAAATACCACTTCGTAAGTAATATCACCAGTGACATATCTCATTTTACGAGTTTTATCATGCACAGGTCAGTTTTTTAGGCTCTGTTTTGTCTGCAGTTATTAAGGTACAGTGACATTTAAATAAAGATGGGAATACTGTACAAATGAGCTTAAGAATACATATGGGTTCTGAAGAACAAACTTGTTAACCTATTGGTACGGGCAGAATGACATTGTGGTTTGACTAATTGTTACAACATAGTATGCTTAATTAAATAATACTCATCGATTTTCCTTGGAACCAAAAATGAAAAGGGATAGTACATATCTGCTATGGAGGCAGGGTACAGTTTCGTAATTTGGCCCCTGGCAAATTTCTTAACTTAAGGCTATGGTGTGACTTTTTCAGCAATTATTGTCTACTAATTAAATATATGGATATATTTGCGAGCTAGGTGTTTCGGGCTTGTGTTGTTCTTGAAATTGATGTCAGGCATGTACACCTTCCATAGTTACTCTGCAATATGTTGATAGTGAAATACCAATAGTTGTCTACGAAGAAGAGCTAGCCTCTCGTAACAGTAAACATGTGGGTTTGGGACAAGGAGCATATCTCAAAAACGGCTTGGATAACAACTATTTTCAACTGCATCAGCCTGTTTAGTACACACTGTTTGGCAGAATTGTAATCTAGGAAAAGGGCTTGTGTTTGCACTGTGAGTACCACATGGTGTCAAAAATGACCTTCGGACATGAAAATTGCAGGTATAAATTTGGGGTTGGGGTGCATAAACTTCTTCTGCTATGAACTGCCACTGACTTCTCTGGTCAAGTTGGATAATATTTTTATGCTTTGTTTTGATATAGGTATCTCAAAATATGAACATTCTTGACCTCACTTGTGTGTTTGATTTTTTATGATTTTTTTTGTACTAGGTCACTGATTGTGGCATTAAATTTGTACATAAAAACTGGCCCTTGCCCCCTTAATTATGTACTATTTAGAGGGGAGATAATTGAATGTGTTGCTGTGGTGATACTCCTTAGTTGGAAGGGTTGCTTCCTACTGGCAAAAATTTACAACAGTCTAATTTAAATTATTGTGGCTAGTACTATGGTGGCGCTCACCAGTTATTATGTACTTTTGAGAGAGTGATGTATGTAAGGTGAAGTTGTTTGAATTTTAAACATGCATAGTGGAGAGAATGTTGACATACCTATATACTACTTTCATGTAATGTATCTGAAATTTCTTTGGATATTGATTTTTTGGAAATTTTTAAAGATCTAAGGACACTGCTAACTAAAATGACTGCTCCCTTGTGCTCCAAAAATCAACCTGAATTTGTCTAAAAGACACTATTCTTGGCAGCTTTTAAAATATGGAAAATGAATTTCGCCAAATTAGACAATACCAGCTTCTAAAAGTGCAATTAATGAATTACCAAATACATAAAATGTAAAAAAAGTTATCGGCTCTATTGTTTACAATTTACCTCTGAAGATTGAGAAGTGAAAATGAGCAAGTAGAGCTAGCACTTTTTTGAAAGATTCACATCTGGAGTAAAGCCAAGCTGTATACTCTCTAACCCATATTACACCCATCAATCATACATCAAAATAAAGGGAATTAAAGGTTTTTTTGAACAATACCTAAGATATACAAAGTCTCTTTTAAATAGCCAGTATAACTAGTGAGGAATCCCGGGGAAACTTTTTTTTTTTAAAAAAATTCTTACCCATGCTAAATACGAAATTGTAGAGCGCCACCTATCCAAGTTTGTTTACAAATAGGGACGAGCAATATTCCAACCGGAATGTTTCTTTGGACCTGTAAAAAGGTAAATCATTGTGCGATGCAGATTACAGAAATATATTGAAAATATAATTTTGTCTATAATATACAGTTGTGATGCTTCAATACCATACATTTTAGTAGACTAAACCTTCATAAATATTGTTGCATTCCAAGTATCAAATATTAGTTTTCCATATCAATCATTCAAACTACGTGTCTGCAGTCATTCATAGAACATTACGCAACCACCTCGCATAAACAAAGAATACAACTTCCAAATTACAAAACGACCACAGGTTGCCTTTTAATAAAGTAAAAAGGCGATACAGCATCAAAGAAACTAGTTGCACAATATTATAGTTTCACTCCACTTAAACCAAAATCACTGTAGAAATAAAATCATGTATATGTACCCTCACAAGTCGTGCTCTGATATTGTTTGAGATTGGATTCCGCCTCAAATACGGCATGTTTAAGAGATAATGATATTATTATAAGTATACGTACTCAAGTTATACATAGAAGTGCATGTGTATGTATTGAAATAACTATAAAGAACAGTCATATTGTCACATAAAACATTCCCTAATCTGACAACACATCATTATGCCGTCATTATATATTAACAGGTAAAGTATTCACATACAGACGACTTTTAAAACGACACATCGGATATGTGTTTAATTAAATATTACTTTAAGAATACAATATTAATTAATATAACATGAATGACGCCAGATATAGATTGCTCATAAAAGGATTATTATATGCTCATTGTTTTTTTTTTGCTAATTTTACATTGTCAGGGCCCCTAGTGGACGAGGGGTATAAAACTCTCACCATTACGGATCACTGCCATCTCACCTCTGCCTGCTTGAGTTTAAGTCTCGGGCTCAGCCAGTGTGGGCATGTGAGAAAGCTTACCTGTAGCTTCTCGTGGGTTTATGGTTCTTTCCGGAGCTTTTGTGGTATATCATCAACGATTTCTTCTGACCGCCATATATAGCCTATATTGTGCTGAAAATGACGTTAAAACCTACAACAGGATGTGTCCATGATGAAGCTGAAAAATTATTTTTCCAGCTGGTCAAATCGACTATCACTCAACAGCAGCTTTGCAAATTTACCCATTTTTGGCATTTAAATATCTTGATAAAAGTGTAGAAAACGCACACTGCATGATACAGAGCATAGCATGGATCCAACAGCGAGTATACAAGTGATGGGGCATTAACATTTATCTTCCTTACCTAGTAATAAGCTGGTAATAAGAATGGCAATACATATACTAAAAGTTAAGCACCTTGGATTTCGTCAAATATGAATCACCGCTCCGATAGCCTAGTGGTTAGAGAGTTTACCTCAGATGCAGGAGGTCGTGGGTTCAATCCCCTGCCGAGTCATAACAGAAAGATTTACAAGAATGATACTAACAGCTGCCTCGCTTGGTGCTCAACAAAATAACAGGTTAGTGTTAGGACTCGTCATCCTGGTTTCAGGATCATGTGAGTGGGTGGGACATCATGCTACATGTCAGCGGCATGATGACCCAGTACTAGGCATTACAATAAACTGCCACACTGCAATATCGTAGCGTTTTGACTGAAAATTGTTAAAGCAGCAGCAGGGAGGGTGAATATCACAAAATTTTGCTCGAGTCATAACGAAAAATAAAGGTTCCTACAGAGGCTGAAAAAAGGTCAAACACGCTAAACCAAAGTCTCTAACTGAATATATTTCCACACGCCCGACTTTGTCATGAGGTTAGCTCAGTTTTGTTATACTATTATTGACGTATTTTTTATAATTTTGTAAGGCAATTTTGTTTACCAGTAAAGCGACCAAATTGTTGTCCTTCACCCATCCCTGCTGCTCTTGATAGTCAAGGGAAGCTAACCAAAGATTTTATATAGACCAATCTACGAGCGTATGTATAAATTAATATATAGAGTTTCGTTTTTTAAGTCAGTAACATTTCCATCCTGATTTGTGAGTTTGAAATTTATTCTTGACAATAATGGATTAGGTACACGCAGGTAGACTTGATTTATTGGCTCAGATACAATAAGCCACCCTGGGGGTGTTTGAATACTGGACGAATATAATATATATCCCTGCTGGGCCTGAGTAGACTAAGAGAGGTCGAAGTGGTAGCTACTGTCAATTATATCGCTTACTAGATTCAGTGCGATGGTGGATGTTTTATTAACAATATTAGGCGAGATGTGACGACCTGACCCATATGGGTCATTATTATATTTGAGAACAGTTGGAAGCGGGATTAAAATTTTCTATGAATTACATGTTCCTGTAAAGTACTCATCGATAAGATCATTAATTGATTTTTTTTAGCTCAGACGAGTCGAATCCGGGAATAATGAATGTTGGTAGCTGTTGTGCTCTTATTTTATAATGTTTCATAAATAATCTCGGTGCAGTATATTTAATGAAAAAGTTCATAATAGTTTTACTGATAAGATCAAGGTCTGCTGCAACGGCGTTTAGATGATGTATCGTTTCGATTATTAGCATTTTCATGTCCTCGGAGTAATGCTGACATATACCAGAAAATAAGTGTCTTAAATTATTGTAGGTATTAGAAAATTCAGTCTTTACGTCATTAAAATATGTCTTCAAGAAATCTTCATCAACGTGGATATCTTTACCTGTAAAACGTGCATGATATTCCATATCAAGTATTGTAATATATTTTATTCTGAAACCATAACCATAATCTCGTTCGGTTTTTTATATTCTGGTTGTTTTGAAAATTCAAAAACGTATTCACGTGACAGGTAAAATCAGTTTTGAGCGTGACTATTTTATTACTAATTGGAATCTCTTTATCATCAATGTATTTTATTTGTAGCTGCATCAAACTCAGATTCTGGTGTTTTTTAAGTTACTAATATCATTATGATTCATATTAAGAAATGCACGCATTATACCACCTTTGGTTAATACGTACTTATATTCCTGATCGTCAACATATTTTTTTGTTGTAACATCACTATCTGTAGTTGGATAACCAAGATCTGTAATTTTATTTTGTTCATAATAAAGTCTCCACTAAATACACCGCCAGTCGTCTTGACATAATGGTTAACTGACTTACCTGAATCTTGTATTTTACCCTGATCAGTAAAAGTAACGATATTATCAACAACTGCAGTAGGAATTCGTATAAGTACGTCTGGTAGTTGTATATTACTGGTCTTTAATCGTCCTTGCTTGTCCTGAAAAATAACTACTTCATTTTGATCCACACTTGCAATATTAAATAAATCATCAATCTCATTTCTGAGTTGATCGAGGGTTACATATTTAGATAAACCACCTTGCTGCTGAAGTTTACCACGAGCAGATCTTCCGTAAATATCTACCATTATATTTACTGATGTCTATTTAAATATGACAGCCGGTATATTCATGCACGACTTTGTGAGGTGGCTTACCTGGAGGTGCTAGGGATACAGCATTTAGTACATTAAATACATCTCGACCACATATTGGTGGATCAGTTAATGTTTGTGTTGGTAGTATTGAATACCAGATTGGAGCAGTATTATCACTGACATAATGAAGAAATTCCTTTGGTGGCGCTAATCCATATGAATCAAAATAAATAATTTCTCGTGGATCAATTGCATGCGCTACGCAGTGGGTATCTGGTCCAGAGTTTTTTTTATCGAGATTAATAATACCTGTTTCAGTATTGTTCGGTTGTTTTGGTAACTGATCGCGCATAAAAATACCTCTGAAATTTTTTATTTTTAATTTTTTAACAGCATCGAGTAAATCAAAATTAGACATAGGCGAGATCAGTAAATTGTCCCTGGAAGTCTTAGACCTTTTCTGTACTATGAATGCAGGGTCCCTGGGAATCTGAGACTTTTTCCCCTTCTTTTTTGATGTTTGTTTTATTCCCTGTCCAGTGGCATTCTTTAATGCCATTCCAGCAGCAATTTCAACAGCACCTAATGCAGCTGCTTTTGCAACAGCTGGGGCTGCAGCGGCTATTAATGCTGGTATAGCTGCGAGAAGGGGAAATATACCACCCGTTTTTAAAGTATCTTTGATAGCGCTTGCAGAAAGACTAAGTTTGACGCCTTTATTTGATTTGTTTTGCTTCATTAAAGTTTTTGAATTGACGATCGGACAACGATAATTTATTTGAACCGCTCATCTGTTCCTTTTTCAACGATATTGTTATTCCACAGTTATTATTTGATGCCGATTGCAGTCTTTTGACCTGACCAGGAGTCAGGGTAACTTTAGCGTGTTTGTATGACATTTATATCATTTATAAATGATCTAATTTCTGTTACATATTTTCTACTGGATCATCAATGACTCTCATTCGTCCACCAACACCTTCAAGGAGCATTAATTTATCGCTAAGTATAACAGCAACTGTTCTGTAATTATCAATAGGTCCTCTTGTTACACTAGCTCGAAATTGTATATAGACTACATATTGTCTGGTTAAATCTAAATGTTCGAGCGAAAAGTAATAAATCGGATATAAGGTTGTAAAATCTAACTGAGATATCTGTAATCCAGTATCAACATTTTGATCACGGCCCATAAACGTCATTAATCGATGATATGCACCTGCTACATGATTTTGATCAAAATTCAGTAATATATCCTCGGATGGTTCTTGATGTCCATTTATCCTTAATGAAATATCAGAAACACCAAGACTGTCAAATATCATGTGACTACACGTTTGATCATTTACTCGTGCAGCCTTTTGCAATACAATAAATATATACCTGGGCGCAGAAACCCCCTGCTGAGAGGCTATTTGCCATGTAAATAAATCGTTAATATTACTCTGGATGACATCTGTGGTCATTGTCAGCCATGACAGCATTGATTTACCATCTTGACTCATGAAAGATAGTAATCGTTGTTCTTCAAATATTGATGGAGCTAATATTAGCATCCACAGTGAAGGTTTTGTAAGAGTTACTCTGCCAGCATCACCGGCGGGTCTCCATATTGCATCATCGTCTGTAGCCTTTGGTACTAGTACAACTGTATGTCTGGCTCCAAAAATGACTTTTCTGACATTTCTGCAGAATCCAAAAATATGTGATAGTTGAATTGCACATGAAAATATTCTTCTCTTTCCTTTTAACATCGCTCGACGTGATCTAAATCCTAAATTGAAATCTGGATCTACATTAATAATCATTCTATTTACGTCTGCTGGGGCGCGTCTAGAAAAATTCTGTGGTCGTCCTATTTCATAATGTTGGTACTCTGGAGAATCAGAAGTATCTTTTACAAACAACATTGACGGACCAGCTGATCTTGAATAATCGTCGCTGTATCTTGCAAGTCCAAGTATTGTTGAAGCAACATCAACATCTTTCTGAATTGATTCAATATTTTTTCCGTCAATCATGTACGTAGCGCTATCAAACAACGCCATTATACCATTGTTAACAAAACCAACACTCACAATAGTGTCGTATTCAGTACTATCTGCTTTTAATATCTCACCTTCGACTTCAATAAATGCTTCGGAGGGTAAGAAATATCTACTTGTATCATGAACCTGAAGTTCAATCCTTCCACGCTGATTTGGAATTCGTGTGTCGTAAGAATAATACTGGTAATCACGTACAGATTCATCTTTGAGGACTGGTGCGTCCATGTCAAATGCAGGATCACTTATATGTTTGAACATATTTATTATAATTATAATCGTCTAAAACTCGCGGTTATATTTTTTCTTATTCTGATAAAGGTATATCAGCCAAATCTGCCAGTTTCTGATTAATGACTTAATTTATTTTTTTTACTAATATTTGCAGGCATTAATTCAGTACTAGGTAGAGGTCGGACCGCTTGAGGTCTACGTATTGATTGTGCCAGTCTATCTTTGATGGCCGAGAATGCTTTACTAGCAATATTACCAGCAACACCTATACCCTTTTCACGAACAACATCAATAGCTTTCATTCCTAGCTGCTTTGCAATTGATATTGCTTTTCCGGATATTTTTCTAAATAGACCCTGAACGATATCACCTAGCCCATCTCAGTAGTTTGCCCTGTAAATCGGTATTCTAGAGTTAACTGCCCTGACCATAGTTGGTAGACGTTGAGTACTATGTATTATTATTTTTTTATAGTCATTATGTTTAATTTACATACTTAATCCATAACTTAGTCACTATAGTAGTCATTAATGAGAGACCGATGCACATTAATATTCATAATTCCACCTGTAAATAATCGTTTACAAATATCTGCTGCTTCATTAATGATTCATTAGTCATTCTATTTAATTACAGTTACTTAGTCATTATAATAATCATCAGCGATTTCATTAATGAGAGACTGATACACATTAATATCCATGATACCGCCACTAAATAATCGTTTAC